AAAAGGACACTGCTGGCTCTTCCACTGTTAGTCTGCACTGTTAGCGGTACAAGAATGTTAGGCTAATGGCCATAAGCCAGCATAAATAAATCACAGAAGTCGAGGATGTCGACGGCATTGCGGTTGCATTGCGATGTCACCACCTCCCACTGAAGACCACCCCCTAGATAACCACCTCCTGCAAGTGCCCCAAATGTGCATTTAAATTAGCAGCGGTCCCCTTTTCAGCCCCACACACGCACTCACATTTGTTTGCACAACTGCAATGTCATTTCTATGCACAATGAATGCATAAATCATTAACAAGCGCTCTCCGCTCGCCGCAAAAATAATAACAATAATGCTAAAAACTGCAACGCAACCGCTGCAGCCACAATGCCCATGTGGAGGCCACCCAATCAGCAGTAAACCACTTCCCCCCGGACAAAAAACACGCCACCCGCTTTGGTTGCATGTGCAACCAATTACAGGCATTTCCGGCAATCAGATTTTAGCGCCTGAAATTCGCAAACAGCCGTCCCAAAAGCCGAGTATAGTTGTAATCACTTTTGAAATTTCAAATTTCAATTCGATTCTCGCCGCAGCATCGATGTCCGATGGTTTGCTGCCGTCACGCCTCCAAGTTGAGCACTCAAAATTTATGTTCCCATCCATAGATCATCACGGAATGACACTTGGACAGGGGCAGTTGTTGTTGTCCTATTTGTGGGTGTGTGTATGTGTGTGTGTGGCTGTGGTGAGTCCTTTTGGGAATCGGATAGCCTGACATTCCACGGAGCGATAAAGGATTGGTGTAGGGATTGCTTCGCATATATAATATAACTTGTTTTTGGTTTGAAAACAACATAGATGGTTACGAGTGGGAAAATTCTCAGTTATCATATTTGTTGAAACTAGGCTTGAGTTTATAAAATTATATGCAAATATCTAAATTAATTTCATTTTTACAGACTAAAATTTAAATATAATATGTATACTGGGTCACTATTACTCATTATGCAAATTATTATTCAGAATGCTTTTCAGGTTTCATCAATACTGTATCATTTTGTATTATTTATTATTTCTTGAATTTATACAATTTTGAACTTGTTTATTATTATTTCCTTCAAATAAATAAATTGAGCATTTAATCACATATATAACTATACTTTTAAAATTAACCACCACAAAATGAATCAGTAAAATTCAAATAAATTATTTCAAATAGATTTATAGAAAATATTAGCTAACAACAATCACAGTGTGTACAAGATTTTATTATAAAATTTTGTATATTAAAAGAATTGAGTTTATTTTTTTAGTTAAATGAAAATTATATCAAGCCATTTAAAGTAAATATTTACAAAACAAATATTCCTGGCCTGCATGCGAATGCAACCTCTATGGGGTAACCTGAGCAATTCCAATCCAATTGCGGTTCTCTGCGGTGCATCCCGGTGCATCTGAATGCGTCTTGGTCATCAGAAAAGAACCCACGGTTGACTGCCAGAGATTGCGAGACTTGTCAGTCATTCGAGTGACCTTTTCGATTCGTTCACCTTGGCATCCACAACGATGCACTTTCGGCTTGGAAAAACGTCAAAAATGGTATTTGCAACCAGGCCATGTTCCGGATTCTTTGCTGATTTTAATTAAATTCAAAATTGACACCGCGTCAGTGGATCTGCTTTCTAAACTTAATGAATAAATAGTGAATGCAAGCACATACAATAATGCATTATTATTAATGCGGTTTACGTGTGGCATGTATCAACTCATTTAATTAAACAAGTGGCTAAACGATGCTAGTGATGATTGTTATTGGAACAATATCAATATCATACAATAATGCGCACAATGCAAACATCGTACGACAGACAAAAACATATCATATAAAACACAATGCAAATTAGTCTATTAGCAATTTTCCCTCTTCGACCAGGCATATACAAATTTTTGGCAACCATTAACGAACGTTTTTACTTGTTTGAAATGCAACCACTTTTTTGATGTATTGTTTTCAGGCATACATCAATAAATATGAAAGCAAAATTCAATTACCTTTTTAAAACGGATTGGCTAGTGATTGAGCTGCACATGAAAATAACAGTACTAATTTAATTAAGAGAGTGCTTTTAATCTAGAACATCGACTAGTTTATTTCAATGTTTGGAAAAGTATTCTTAGTTTTGGACTGAACTGAATGATGACTGAGAAAAATGATAACCACCCATCAAGGATTTTTCAAATTGATTAATGGGGTCAGCTGAAAATAACGAATGCTGTGTAACAAAATCGGAGAGCAGAAACGTCTAAACCAGAAACCAATCACTTATCATTTGTTGCAGCTCGAGAAAGTGTTGCTCACTAATTGAATGTCATCAGGGCCATCGACAACGTCAATTTGAAATTGTATTAAAATCATTTTACTCTTTATACTCTTTTCACTATTTTCCATAGCCCAGGGAATGAGCTTCTTTTCAAGGAGCAAAGTAATGGGTTTTAGATCTGACTAGCAAAATGTGCGTAAACAGCATAAAACTCGCCTTTTCTTTCTTTTCATTTGACATTTTTACACTTCTAGTTAAACAATTTGCAGTAGCAGCAAAGTTGCAAATGACAAGAAGTTTATTAAAAGTAGAAAAAAGGACCCAGAAAGCTAAAAGAAAAGATGAAGAAAAGGCAGTTGCAATAAAGGGATTCGATTTATTAACGAGATCAGTAAGGGTCGTTTAAGCTTTGGATTCAAATTCTTATTCAAGATCTAAATCAATGAATATTTAAAAAAAGTGATATCAAAATAATTTAAATATAACAGCTAAGTAAATTATTTAATTTGGACTTATGCTCTGTTCAATATAAACAGATATTCAAAATAACTTTTAGTTTATAAAATCTATACCATTAAAAGCAATTTCGTAATATTTTAAATTGGAATAAGCAGCTGGTTAAAAAACTTATGCAGTTTAAATAAAAAAAATGTCCTTGGTTAAGCGCCTCAAAGTAATAAATTAAGCTTTGAGAACATAATCATAATTATTTGAACATAAATCATAGCTCAGACTTTAAGCGGAACGTGATTCTTGTGCTGTCAAAAATCTCGCCTACTCCTCGAAAGTCTGCAGCATTTTCGGTTTGTTGGCAGCAACTCCAGCAGCCAGACACCAAGAAACTGCGCCATTTGTGTTAACAACACTGACACTGAAACCGAAAGCCAAAAATGCAAAAATAAAAAAAGAAAAGAAAAGAAAAGCAAGGCAGACGGCAACAAAGAAAGGCAACTCCAGAGACGTTTTACTTATAATGAAGTTCATTTACTCTGTGCGAAAATAAAAAGGGCACACAAACGATTTAGTTTCATGTTCCGTTGGCTGGCGGAAGGAAAAGAAAGGAGTGCAAGTACTGCTGCAATGTCTTCGCGGCCATTGCTGATGCTTTTGTTTTAGCTGTTGTTGTTTGCAAGATTAATATGCTGCCGTTTTCCACTACTTATGCTGCCTTTCAGGACCAGGCCAGCACGTCCTGTCAGGACTTACACACGAAACACTGTACAGTGGTTGCCGGGAAATGGGAAATTCGGAAATTACATTTCTCAGAAATCAACAGTCAAGTCAAAGAAATTTTGAAGTACCTTTTCCCACGCCAGGCATAACATTTAATGCGCCTTCACGTCGTTTGTGGCTAATTATCTCAGTTTTGCTTAGTTACGTTCCATCAAAAATTCATTAGAATTTTGGATAGGGTGGTTAAAAAATACCTATAAATAAATTGAAGAATTAATTACAATTTTTTATTTACGGAGTTCTTTTTTTTTATTAAAGATCATTTAATAGAACATAGAAATGTTAATTTAATTGCAAAGCAAGCTTGAAATTTTGAATAAAAATTTGTAGAAATCACATTTTTTAAAGTTACATTTTAAATCAATTGCCAAAATAAGGTTGGTATAAAGTTTTTCTAAAAAAATTGTATTGTAGAATTATTAGATGAAGATTTCTTCATTTGATGTTAGCAATCAAACATGAATTTTGTTTTTCTTGGCAGTGTATCTTCGTATCTTTCGAAACTTGTGTGTGCTCTCTAGTTTAATGAGTGTGCGTGTGTTTGCGCCGGTGTGTGTTTGCACAATGCGTGTGTTGAAAGCTTAAGTCACGAGAGCAGATGCTTTGGCGAAAGGCAGGCAACGAAATACTTTGCCAACGAAAATATTATACAACTACTTTAAAGGGGGGATTTATTGTGCTCCCTGCGTTTGCCTTTGCCAATGCATCGCTCCTTGTAGTCGCGGACTTCTTGCGCTCACTGTGTGCTCACCGAGACGCAATGATGCCGAAATGCAGCACTCAACTTGAGCTTCTGTCGCTCCTTCAAAGATCCCGGCAACGAGGCGAAAATCCTAACTGGTAACTCCCCCGGCGAAAATAAGCAGGAAATAGGGCAAAGGACTAGGACTGCCTTCTGGAATTTTCATTTGCATCTTTTGGCGCTGCCATAACTGCTGCCTGTATGCAGTTACACATCACACTTTAGTTGCTCCTCCAAGTGCCACTTTCCTCCGGCGCACAGTTTGTCTTTTCATTAGTTTCGGGTTTTAGTGTTATCTTCTGTGTCTGCCCCAAAACGAAACTCGGTTGGCTAACTTCCCAGTTGAACTTCAGCATTAAGCTTGACCTTTTGATGGCCTTTCGCTGCAAACTTTTCATTCGCTTTGTGAGGCCATCTCAGTTAATTATTTCTAGTTGAATGGTTCAGTTCTAATTAGGCTTAAGAAAAAGATTTCATTGGCTATGAATATTTAAGTGGAATTTTAGTATGCAGAAAACTTTATTCTTTATATTTCAGCCATTTTAATAAGAATAAATAGTCAAAGTGAATCATTATCTAGTCTATTTGAAATTAAATAAATTCTTTTCCCCATAAAAATTTCTATTGAAGGGTTAATCCGCTATTTAATATTTTTACAGAATTTCGGAAAAGAGAATATAAAGCTTTTTGGCTTTAAGAAGAACAAATTAAACTATTTTATCCAGCCTATATTGTTTTTTAAAGATGGTATATTTATTCAGAAAGTATATTAAACAAATATGTAAGAATATTGGTTTAAAAGTTATAATTTCATACATGTGAGATCCAAAACAGTATTTTATTTGATTGTTTATAATACAAAATACTTGTTCACTACTTATTTGAGTCCCCTCCTTGCCCGACTGCCCTCGTTGTGCCGCAAATTGGTCAGCATCCGTCGATGTGACTCCATGTGGGGATCCCTAAGCTGAAGGGCGAAACAAACCGGGGTGATGATGTCGTCCACATGGGGAACCTTCGATGCACTGGGCATTCTCCGCAGGCCGGTCCACACACTTTGGCGGGCGGTGGCATCCTCGGTGGGTTGCTGGGCAACCGCCACCTCGAAGGATCCATCCTGCGGAGGACCTTTGTCATTGATCCTTAGCTGGAGCTTAACCCTCGGCTGGATGGCCCTCAGAGCTTCTGCCAGCGAAGAATGGAGGTGCAGAGCATGTTTCCTATAAGTGTGGCGATAGCGACAGTGTTCGATATAGAGCACCGGCTGGTGTGGATCCAGTGGCCTCTTGTCGGGCATCTCGACGGACGGTTGGACACACAAACAGGTGGGAATCTTGGACAGACTACGACCTCCGACGCACAGCAGTCATCGCAGGGAGTGGGGATGTTCCTGGTCGAGGGGTGAATCTGAGGCTCAGAGGCTTGACACAATTCTCCTGGGCAGCTCCAACCCTCCAGCTTATCGGCGACCAGAGAACCTGGTTGTTGGAGGTTATGGGGGCACCTCATAAATCAAATAAAAGAGCGTATCTGACAAATAAATCTTCGAGGGCGAAACAGGCTCGGAAAAAAGAACATGCAAATGCGCATGAAATATGCAAAAGCCGCAAGCCTTAAAATGAATAAAAAAATTAAATCAACCAACATAGATATACAGTGGTCAGTTGAAAATTAAAACAGGAAAAGTAATCTAATTTTTGGCTTCCAAAAATTTTAAATGTGTTTCAGAGCTTAGATGAGTTTAAACAGACAAAATAAATGAAAACACTTAATATAATTATTTAAATTACAACACTTTTAAATGGCTTTAAATTTTAGCTGCTATTAAAAATATGAATTTCGTAAAAAAACGTAACATAAACTTTAAACTTAAAACATTTAAGCTTAGAGTATTTAGGTTCACAGAAAATGTAAAATTATATTTACTGAATAATTTGAAACTGTTCTTTATGAATTTATTAATTTTTACTACAAATGGGAAAATTATTTATTAAAATAAGTACTTATTTGTCAAATGTCCTGAAAATTGGTCAGTAATTACTGTACGTCTAGTTTATTGTCCAGTTTTTGCTGACATATTAACCTGCGGCGACTTGAAAAGAAGAAATCAGGAACATTTTTTTCTGCAAAATTTATGAAGCTAAAGAGTAAAAAGCAGAGGATGCCAAAGGCACAGACACGGCCAAATAGGATGCTCTCTGTATAGAAGGGAAGCCAAATGAAAAAAGGAAAATGTATATTTTAATAAACCGAATACAAAGCTGAGTAGCGAGAGTCCAGCGCCTCATTTTCCAGCACCACCCATCGAGCGTCGAGCCAGCGGCAAGGTTAGCCAGTTCATTCATTTGGTTTTATTCACAGTTATTGAAAGTAGAGCAGCGCGCTGTTCTCGAACAATATGAAAATAAATAAAAGTAAGACCAAGTCGTGCGCTGCAGTGTTAACCAAGGGTTAGAGGTCGGAACGTGAACCACAGACCACGACTGACGACTGTCGACGGTTGACAGACGACGAATGCGAATGCGAATACGAATCCGAATCACGCCGGAAATCCAAGGGAAAATATTTTCAACCGAATCTTGGGGCTTGGGGCGGCTGTGACGATGGCTTGCTGCTGTTCCCTCTGATTGGATCAACCTACTTAGTTTGTGTTGGCAAAGAGGACCCAACAAGCAGTCGCAAATAGTCATGGGAATGCTCTCGACTTTCGCTTTAAGTTGCCAGGTAGTTTATCGCAAACATTTGCTTTCGCCTTTCAGTTCAGGCTTAATAAAAGAAATTTAAACTCAAGCCGAGTTTATTTGACTGTTGGAACTCGTATTTTTTAAAGGGTTCCAAAAAGGTCGATTGCTGTCCCATTGGAAGGCAATTTTATTTGTTAAATTTGGTGCTTTACAGCGTTCAAGGGTTGAAATAGACAGCGCATTTATGGGTGAGTGGAGCGCTGCCTTAGATTCAATAACATTTTATTTCATTTTATTAATTAAACACATACCTTATTAATTAAACACATACCTTTTCTGTTTTATTAAAAAATAAGCACTTTTAGAATACAATAATAAGACTGGGGTTGTAATTGTACTAATCCAAAGATATGTTGAAGATATACAACTAATAAGAATCACAAATATCTTCGTTTAATGTCAAGCAAGAATTTCCTTTCAAAATAACTCCGAAAAATTGATTCCATTTAAAGTAAAAACATGGATTGGTTTGAAAGAATTTGTGCTGAAAGTCGATCAAAGTTTTTCACAACTCAACAAGCAATAAACAATAAAATTCAGCAAAAATCAAGCGATGATCTCATGAGTGCAGATGAGTGCTACAGTCTTATAAAAAAAAGTATTAAGCCTAGAGAATTAATAGGCCAAGAAGATTTATGGAAAATTCCTATACTTCTTGTCTGTTTTGGCTGCATTCTGGTTATATTAATGGCGTTCTGCTTCGTTTTTCAGTGCTTGTTGAGAAGAGTAAATGATTCAAGACTTTCTAACCAGTTCGAAATTGATATTTGCAATGTCGAAAAATCGAAAAACAATTCAAGAATGCACAAAGCCAGCCAAAGCGAACGACCACCAAACGATAGTTGCTGTTCCTGTTTAAAAGTCAAGTAAAACATGATAAGGCTTTTAATCGAATATTTTTTGTTAAATTTTTGTTACAATAAATACAAATTAAAAATATATATAAAATTACCCAAAAATTTGTACTCATAATATTTTCTTTTAAGAACTCTTTACGAATTTATATACAAACAAATTGAGTAAATTGGTTGAAATCAATTTGACGATAATCTGTAAAGGTCTTTAGTACGCAGAAGTCTCATCAATTGAAATTAATATTTTCTTTGATGGGATTATTTGGATTATTGAAAAAGTGTCAGCAAATTGTATTTACTTAAAGGAGCCGCATGGATATTTAAAATATATAGCTAAGATTTGTGCAACTGATATTTTCCGCTGCCGCATTTATAACGATAATTGTGAACGCCTTTCGGCAAGGACACCCCAAACTGAGCAACTTTCCGCTCGTCAGCTGGAATTTATAGATGGCCAAGTAAACCGGTCAGTGGCCTCGCCCCATTTGTCAATGTTCGACGTCATTGCTCCTGCAACTGCCGCAGGGCTGTGGCACAGCCTTCAACCTTCGGTTTCACTTATTCATTTTCTACAGCCCCATCGCCCCCTTCGGATTTTCTCTTCTTTTTTTTCAGCTTGCCACAAATTGGCCAATGCGTTTGTTCGAGCATCCAGAAGTTGCCGGGGATTAAAAAACGCTTTGCATGCCAGCGGCAAAAGGAGGCGGGGATCGAACTAGGGCGGCCTGGCAGATGAAATGCGTAAATGAATTTGCAAAAATTATTTGCACCGCCCGACTGGCCGAAACTTGATTAAATTTCTGCGCAAACGAGTCCAGCGGGCATAAAACGAATCCGCATTATTTCTAAAATATCCGAATAAATGAGTTTCCATTGATATACAAACATAGATGGCCGTTCATCGGGGTATTTCCCTAGCGGACCCAAAATATATTCTCCAATTTTGTCTTGCTCGTATTTTATTTATTTCAATTATGAAAAATTTCTGCCGCCAGCACGTTGCCCGCAAAAATAGCTTTAGCAAAAAACAAAAAAAAGGAAGGAAAAGCGAAAAGCAAAGTCGCAAATGGATTTTTTGTTCCTTTAAATTCACTTGAGTCCCCGCTTTCCACATCCCTCTGGTATCTTCTTTTCATTTTACTCACATTTTATTCTTGTGGACGTGGGGTAAACAAACATTAACTGCTCAATTGTTTTCAACGCGCTGCTTTGTCCTGAATTGATGAGCTTTAAATTGTTAGTCCCTCGCTTTCCTCCTTTGTTTTTTATAATCCTCAGCCCGTCTGGCATTATCGCCCCACTCCCATTTTTCCCCTCTTCATCGCTGCAATTTATTCATAATCAAGAGTGTTAGCCTAATTGGTATGTCAGGCGAAACATCCCATGGCGTTTATTTAGTTTTATAGGCGTTCTAGGATTTTAATTCTCTTTAAAAGCTTTTCGGTGTGAATAAAAAGTAATAATCGATAATAATGTTGTTTATAATTTTTTAGAAATACAGATGTACCAATTTACTTGATAAAAAATAATTAATGGCGAACGTGTTATATATTGCGCTAATGGTAGAAAAATAATAGTAGTTTACTAAAATTCATATTAACCACCAAACGACATTTATTTACAGGTAATTTCAAAATAATATTGATTATAAATAATAAAATATTATTGGCTTACTAAATCCCAAAAAAAGGTGGGAAATTCATAGTTGGAACATCATTTTCATGGTTTTTTTTTAATGCTTTATTATTGCATTATCATAAAATTTCTGCCCGGAAAGCCGAAGGATGAATTCCATTAGCATCTCCCATATTTGCTTGGGGCTTTCCCTCACTCTCGTTGTTTCCCACAGGTAAACATTTTTAAGCTTTAATTATAATTAAATATTTTTCTTGCAGTTTTTATAAGTCTCTGTGAACTTGGCATCCTCCTTTTTTTTGCCCCTCCATTCTGATTTTTAAAGTGTTTTGTTTATCTTTAATTAGTAGCTTGTAAGTGGGCTGACTTAATGGCCAATTGGCGGGGTCTGAAACGAGTGTGGGTATGTACGCCTGATATGATTAATTACCTAATTATTGCTTTAGATTATCGCACAGCTGCGGATATTATGACTTAAGTCTGTGCCTTCAGCCTTTATTGCTTCCGTTTAATCACTGGGCGAACCAAACCACAAAACTCAATTGATTTTCAATTCGGTTTGAGGTCAAGACTTTCCCCAATAACTGAGGTCAGCATTTTCCTGCCAGAAATTCTAAACACGTTCACAGAAACTATTCCCTTTGGTTCTCTGATCAATGGCAAAACTATTTACACTTTAATGCGGGTATTGTGTGAAGTCATGGTCGACAACTTTTGCGATTGTAAGTATCAACAAGTAGGGGGCTGGCCATAAATGGCCTTCAGCTAAGGGATGTAAAATGCATTGGCCAAACAATAAAAATAAATATTATTAAAAATAGACAAAAGTTTGCCCATAAATCCGGTTAACATCCGAAATGGGATAAAGTTGCTGTTGACCTGCCATTTGAATGTTTGCCTGCCGTGTTAAGCATTTTCAATATCAAAGTCACGTGCGAATGTTTTATATTAGTTTCCCTCTCGTTCTGATGTTGTTTTTCCCGAATATTCCCTTGCCTTTAACAGATGCGTCGCTGTTTGCCAACGCTCTAGTGATTTTAGTTTGAATTTTACGTGCCCATCAAAATGATTATGAGCACGCACACAGTCGGGGGATCCCACACACACTACCGCATAGATTTCGGCTGGTTCCATCCAGTCAAGGTATTCATGCACTTCATTAGGACAGCCCCACCTCATGTCATGCGGCAGAGCAGAGTATCTGTGTATCTGTGTATCTGTGTATCTGAGTATCTGTTAGGTTGGTTGTATATCGATGTCGGCAGCGGTTGTCGCCCGGGACACTGATGTTTACCGCTCGGCAAAGTCGTTTTAATTAAAGTTTGTGCAGGCATTGAAATTATGTACCATTACAGTTTTATGCATATTCAGCTAAGTGCGACAGCGATGAGAATCTTTACACAGATGATGGCACAAATAGGGGAGTACAAAAATGTATATCAAAAATAGTGATATAAATATAATAATACGGTAGAATAGAGTTTTACCAGAATTTGGCAAGAAATATCTCATTTAATTTATCCTTCTGTGGCCTAAACATAGATTGTTCATTTAAATTAAATATTCTTTTAAACTGCCTAATGTTTTATTTTATTAATATTTTGTATTAAGTTAGTTTTTATTTTTACTTTATTCCTTTACATTGCTATTTTTGGACTCAGCTGTGTCTATAGCTCGAATGTATATGTTTTTGAAAGAACTGTGTGTGAGTGCCATCCGGTTCAAACCACAAAGTTTCGCTCGCTCGTGGTTGTTGTGTTGCTGCTATCGGTTTACCTACCGAGAATTAGTTGTATAGTTTGGCTATGCATTAAGCCGATTAAAAGTTTTCCTATCAACAGTATTGTAATTGCAACAAGTTGCTTTAACCTCATTTTCGGAGTGAGAAAATAATGGTAAATGAAGTGCACACAATACGGCTGCAGCCATGATGGCCAAAGCCATTTAACGAATGCCCCAGTAGTTGGGATAATCTCAGCGAAAAACTTCATAAAATATCGATTGAGGACTCGTAATAAATAAGTAAATAATTTAGTTAAAGAAAACAAAATTAAATTCATTTGAATTGCTTGAGATGATTTCAGATAATTTCATTATATATTGTATCATGAGCAAAAAGAAAATTTCATTATTACTTATTAATAAATAATGTTATCATATTCTCTAAAATTAAATCTTTATTTCAAAAGATAAATTTTACAAATTAAATTGAGAAAAACAAATTGGAAAAGGCAAATACAAATTATATAATTTTATCGGGTACATAACAAAATTGTAATATCTTTAATCTTTCAATCATGTTATCTTATTAATTTTTAAATAAATCTACGGTTTCTAATCTCAAACTAGGAGCTATAAAATGTTAACATTAGGCTCTTTAGGATCTATAATGCATTAAATATCGAGAACGTCGCTTTTAATGGCTTAAACCACTGCAGTTCTTGTTTAAAGAAATAATTCACTTAATGTCTGCTTTGTCAATTTCCTCTGGGCGACCGTTTTCCCAATTGAGTTCTCTGGTATTGAACACCTATCACCAAAATAAATATAAAATTGCTATGCAACTTCTTGGCTTAAACTAAAGGTAAAGCACAGGATGGAGATGAAGTTATCGTTGGCTTAAATCGATGAGGAAAATGCTGTGCAGGATGTGGTTGACCGCAGCAACCGAACAAAAGTGTTGAGTGCCCGACCCAAAAACAATTGGCGGAAGAATGCCAAAAACCACAATGAAAGTGGGCAAAAGGTGTGGGTCGATGGCTGTTGTTTGGGACAATTGCAGTTTGTAGTTTGCCGTTTGCAGTTTGCATTTATGCGAAACGACGGCCCCCGGCATTGGTAATAACCCCAAGTAAATGTCAATGCAGGAAACGCAGCGAGAATGCATAAATTTACCCAGAAATGAACAAACGACGAGCATTTGCAATTGCATTATAATTTGCTGTTGCCAGTATTGCAGCTATTGTTGCTGCTGCTGCTTCTGCCTCTGCCTACGCCCAGAAAAGTATGCAACATGCCGACACAGTGAATGACAAAAGCCTGTGGCCACTGCACTGCGTGTGCCTCCAAATGAGCTTGCTCCCGTTTTGGCTTTTGGGCTGCTTTGCGATTGCATTATTAATGCATAACTCTGGCCTGTTGTGGCACCGGGGAATTCCCGTTTTCACTGCCACTGCCACACAGCCACTCCCCCTTCTGCCACTCCGCCCACTTTGCCTCCCCGTGTTAATTAGCCCGTTGCTGTTTGGACAGCCCTGCAGCATTGAAATATGCCCCAAAAGTTGCACTCTCAATAGCACTGAAGAAGTGTAATTAAGGCCATCGGCAACAGAGATACGAATGACTCGAAGTAAATACGCAATGTATGGCCATTAGGGATTT